AAGTAAAGGTGGTTCTCTTTTCGTAAAATAATTTGAAAACGTTATGGATGTGAATGTGTAATTATTGCTAAAAAAATTATAATCCTTTAAACACACAGGGTACACAGAAAACGAGATTGGAATTTTAAAGGTTATTTTTTCATAAATCAATAATCGTGGATTTTTTATTTTTATTTTTTTTTTTTTTAGAAATAATAATTTTTGGGAAATAAGGTCAATAAACGCGAAATTTCAAATATTTTTTTTTAAAAGACCACACGACCAATTATAGCCAGATTTTAGAGAATATTTTTTTGAAGGACCAACAGAAATATATCCATAAATTAAAAAAAAAAAACAAGTTAAAAAGCAGTAAGTTCGCCCAGGCCGAAACCTCCATCCTCCCTTGAATAGCCTCCACCATTTGAAACGAATTTGGAAATTTTCAAAAAATAAAATCCTTAAAAAATTCTGTTAAATTTTTAAAAATACCGAATATAGCCATTATATTGGGGTCTATATGACGTGGGCCTACATAGGCATTGTTTGCTATAAGTCATTGCCATATTATAAACGGTGAATAATGTAGCATCATCAAAATACCTTATATAAGGAGGTACAGCTATATCGGAGATAGACAATTTTCTGTCACAGGCTGTAGCATCCATTACGAACTTCAAATACGAGATCTCAAACGATTTGGGTCAGTATTGTACCTAAAATCGTCAAAATACCAAATATAGGGAGGTACTGATATATGGGGCCTATACGAAGACAATTTTCTGTCATAAGCTGTAGGATAGTATCCATTACGAACTTTAAATGCCAAATTTGAAACAATTCCGGTGAGTATTTCGAGGAGTTACAAACGTAATGACAAAGTTAATATACCCTCCATAGAATGGAGTAGGGTATAAAAACAAGTAAAAAAAGTATCAGTCGGTTTTACCGACAGATGTATACCCTCAGCCAATGTTCGATTATTTAAAAATATTTTGACTTCTGTTATGATTATTAAAACTCTTGACCCTCTTTGGGATGGGTTATGAAAAAAATGGACCAATATTGTCCATTTCGTATCGGACCTACATAAATATGATATGAATATTGCGACGTGCCAGGTTTGGACTATATTGGTAGCTTCCTTCACTTTACATGAGATATGTGATAATTTTTAGAAAATTTTTAGAAAATGTTAACATGTCCGTGAGGTACCAGATATAGTCTTCCGAATTATTCTATTTTCATATTCCATCTAATACAGATAAAAATATCGGTATGGCCAACATTTTAAGAAAATCGAACATTTGTATTCAATTTATGGGAAATCATAAATTCAATATTCATCTCAAGATTCTGGTTGAGAAACGTTGATTTAAATATAGGAAGTTGTAAAGAATCGCTGAGTGGTTTCGCAATTTGCAACAAATAAAAGTTTTGAAAATTGTGACCTTTGTGAGTGAGGTACCAGAAGGGGTTGGCTGATATATATCATCTTCACAACAGGTCTTGTGTTAGCAAAAATGTTAGTGTGTGTGTGAAGTTTAAAAAGAGTTAAATGCATATTTCGCTTTCTTTGAGCGTTTTGTTTTTCAAAATCTTGAGCCCTGTGTAGGGGAAATGGTCCGATCTTTACTATATTTTTTTTAACAGATCTTCTGTTGATGGAAATATTGAGATGTGCCAAGTCTGAATGAAATCTGATGTAAATTTTGCGTTTTATGAGCTTCATGGATATTAAAAACGTTGACCCTTTGTGGGGGAGGGATCCCAGAAAAAGTGGACCGAAATATCCCACTTTGACAGCAGATCTTGCGCAAGTAAATATAATGTGTGATATGTGAAATTTGAAGAGAATCAGATGTTTATTTTGCATTTTAAAAGCTTCATGGTTATTCCAAATTCCGACCCTTGGTGAGGAAGGTACCAGAAGGAGTGGTCCGATACCATCCACCTTTAGTGTTAGTAAAAATAATGGGATGTGTCAACTATAATGAGAACCGATTTTTTTTTTCGGATGTTATAATCGTTTTGGTTTTTCAAAACGTTGACCTTTGTGGGGGAGGTACCTGAAGAAATGGACCGATCTCTGACAACTTTATAACTTATCTTGTGTTAATAAAAATATTGATATGTCCCAAGTCGGAATGGAATCGGACGTTAAGTTTGCGTTTTGTAAGCTTCAGGATATTCAAAATTTCGACCCTTTTTGGGGGAGAGGTACCACAAGGAGTGGACCGATATATCCCATCTTCTCATCAGACCTTGCGATAATAAAAATATTATGATGGGTGTAAATTGAAGACAATCGGAAACATACATCAAATTTTATAATAGCTAAAATTATTCAAAATTCTGATCTTTTGTGGGAGAGGTACTTGATGGACTGCAGCGATATTGTCCATTTTCTCACATAACCTAGCTCTGATGCAAATATTGAAATTTGCAAAGTTGGAGGAAAATCGAATGATCCTTTCTCTATCTGTGCAGTAAAATATTTAGTTTGAAAATTTCGACCTTTGGTGGGGGAGGTACCGGAAGGAGTGGACAGATATTGCCCATATCCGAACTCCATCTAAGTTTGATAATAATATTATGATGTACCAGGATTGGACCAAATCGGATACTCCCTTCGAGAGTTATTGTGCCCAGCAGCCAGCCAGACAGACAGACGGACGGACGGACGAACGGACATCGCTAGATCGCCTCCAAATGTTCTGAAACGGATTTTGTCCAAGAAGACCTAGGGTCTAAGAACGTTATTTCGACTAGGCACTTTTTGACCGTATCAAATTATATATACCCTCTGTAGCCATATGGCTGAGGGTATAAAAATTAATTTTATAAAGACCATTAGTCCGAGTATCGGGGATCTTTTAAAGAATATTGTTTGAAGGACCAGAAAGGGCCCAGTAAATGTGTATGCTTAACAAAATTTTTTCAAGAGTCAACAGACCAAAAATTGAACTTTTTTATGAAAATAAATGTTTAAGGGCCAACAGATGATTAATTCTTTTTTTTTAATTATTGTGAATTTTCATGGAATATATTTTTTGAAAAAATCAAAATTATTGAACAGTTGGTCCAAAAGCAAAAACTATTCGTGAAAATATTTTTATAATTTTTTTTAATATATTTTCCTAGAAGAAAAATATCTTGATCATAGAAGAAATATTTTTAAGCAGACATACCGCTTGTTTGCTTAAAAATATTTCTTCTAGGATCAATTTTGATTTTAAGTTTTTTTAAATGGTTTTAAAAAAATCCCAATTATTTTTTAATTTAATTATTGTCAAAAAATAAAGAAAAAAAAACTTGATATAATATTTTTAAAAGTTTTTTTTTCACATTCTGGAAATTTTGGAAAATTTCCATATTGGTCCTAAAACAGTCACATATTTTTGAAAATATTTTTAATGTTTTCCTAGAATATTTTATCAGGACAAGCAGCACCCAGGAACGTAGGAAATAATTGTTCATTGACCAATAGTACAATTAGCAAAAAAAAAAAAAAATAATCTTTAAAAAATTTATAACATTTTTTAGAGACCAGACATTCTGGAATTTTTGGAATATATCTAAGTATTTTTCGTTAGACATCTATGATGGTCCTGGAAAAAAATATTTTAAACACCAGGATGTCTATTGATCCCTGAAAAGAAAAAAAAACTCAAAATAGATTGTCGGCCTGTTTATCTTGGAAACAATTTTGAATTTTCATAAGAAATATATTTGGAAAAACTATGAATTATCGGACTGTTGGTCCTCGAACAAGTAAAATATTCATAAAATAATTCTCAATTTTTTTTTTACTTATTTTTTTTTTATTTATTTATTTATTTATTTATTTTTTTTTTTTGAAAAAGTTGGCATCCTTGTATTTTAAGAAAATTTTTTTTGATCAAATAATTTTTTTTAGTTTTGTTGATTTGATTTTTTAATAAAAATAATTTTCAAAGAAAAACAAAAAAAAAACAAATCTTGAATTTTTAAAAGCTGACCATTTTTTAGGATCGTCACATTTTTTAAAATTTTTGATTTGATTTTTTAATAAAATAGTTTTCAGAGAAAAAAAAAAAAAAAAAAAACAATTTTTAATTTTTAAAAGCTGACCATTTTTAATATTTTGATTTGATTTTTTAATAAAAATAATTTTCAAGGAAAAACAAAAAAAATGAATTTTTAAAAGCTGACCAACTGAGAAATGGCAATGAATTTTTTAATTTTTTTAATTTTGTTGATTTGATTTTTAAATAAAAATAATTTTCAAAAAAAATTGACTTTTTAAATTTTTGATTTGATTTTTTAATAAAATAATTTTCAGAGAAAAACAAAAAAACAATTTTTAATTTTTAAAAGCTGACCATTTTTAATTTTTTTTTATTTGATTTTTTAAAAAAAAATAATTTTCAAGGAAAAAAAAATTGAATTTTTAAAAGCTGACCAACTGCGCAAATGCAATGAATTTTTTCAAGAGTATTTTTTAAAGACTTAAAGACAAATTGCCGAGGTTTTTTATTTATTTTTTTATTTTTTATTATTATTGTTTTTTTGTTTTAAATATTTTTTAATTTTTTATTAAAGGATTTCTTAAGAAAAAATCAAATATAAAATTAGCTATATGTGTCATTTTCTTAAAAAGATATAATTCTTATTTAATTTCTGTCGACCAAGTAACGAAATTTGGAACAGATATATATTCATATTTTTGGAATTTAATTTCATCAATATTTTGGGTGTTTCGCAATGTGAGATATTTTTTTTTTAATAATCCAAGATCATAACCTTTAATTTTCATAATTCTCCCCAGGATTTCAGGATCTTAAATATTTTTTTTTTCACTGAATGATTAAAAGTTTGGATAAATTTCATAAAATGTCAACTAATTAAATTGTTTAAATTTAAATTTAAATAATTCTTATTTAAATATTTTTCCCAAATTAAACAAAAAAAATTCCCAACTTCTCACTAAATATTTAAAATAACAAAACGTTTTATATATACACTTAATCATACTTAAAAATAGAAAAGGAATTTTCTTCTATTCTAAAATTTAAAAAATGCTTTCTCTTTTTATACATAATTTACACGTACCGAAGTTTGTCGCCTCACTCTGGCCTTGGACTATATGCAGGTCTCGTTGGTCTTATATTTGCTCAACAGAGATTCCTTGGCTTCGTTTTCGGTGAAAACTTTGGTGCGTCCATTAATGCCATTATCGACGCACACCACCATGGCATTGGTTCCAGTTGATAGAGCGGCCGTGTGATTTTGGGAAATTTCCTGCAACGACAAGGAAGAGCAGAAGGAAAAAGAACATAAGTATAATGATGATGCTGATGATGATGGAAATTGGGAAAAAGTCTTAAATAACATTCGTTATAAATATGAAATGACAAACCAGGAACCCAAAACGCAAAAAAGTTTGTTTTCTTTGTGGCCGGGAGATTTTATGGAGATTGTGAAGGCAGTTTTCTTGGAGCGTGCTGGTCATTCATAAAATGTGGCGATTTTTATCACTACTAGGCAAGGAGTGACGGACAGTTGTAGGCCACCCACAACATCATCAGTTGTTGGTTGTGGTTAAAAGCACCGTAACATAATGGACGAGATCCATTATTTCCACCATCGTGGTGTTCCAGTTTTTTCCAACGAGCGAATGTGTTAATATTCCTTGACAGATAAAAGAAATGTTAGGGAGGGTGGGGGAGGGGGTCAAAGTGGCATATTGTAATGGCTCTTAACATATTTTAGTTGTATTTTTTTTCGGCTCCTTTACTTTATGGTCGTTGGGGAGGGAAGGAAAAAAGGTTATTGGTCCTCCTAGGCATTAAACTTCATCATATTGGATGGCTGAACATTGAACTTTTTCCTATCAGCAGCCTGCCTAGAAGCAGGCAGGACATGGCCCAAGGAAAAAACATAAACAAAACTTCGCGTTTGATTTGCTTTCATTGATGACAGTGACAAAGGCGAAGTGTCAAAGTGGAATATGGCTAATTCCCGGCATTTTTGTGTTGTTGTTGGTTTAATTAAGTTGCCATGTTCAAAAAAAACTAATTACAAACTTTAATAATAATTTGGGATGAAATGTTTGAGTTACGGGTGCGAGGGTAGGATTAATTAATCAAAGAGAAAAGGGAAGGGGGGAAAACAATGGAATTAGGGAGCTTTTATAATTCCCAAGGACCCAATAAACGTGGATTTTTTAAACAATATTTTTTCAAGGACCAATCGACGTGGATTTTTTTAAAAAATAATTTTTCAAGGACCAATGACGTGGATTTTTTAAAAAATAATTTTTCAAGGACCAATAGAACGTGGATTTTTTAAAAAATATTTTTTCAAGGACCAATAGAACGTGGATTTTTTAAAAAATATTTTTTCAAGGACCAATAGACTTGGATTTTTAAAACAAAATATTTTTTCAAGGACCAATAAACTTGAATTTTTAAAAAAATATTTTTTTAAGGACCAATTGACGTGGATTTTTTATAGAATATTTTTTCAAGGACCAATAGAACGTGGATTGTTTAAAGAATATTTTTTAAGGACCAATAGACGTGGATTTTTAAAAAAAATATATTTTTTTAAGGACCAAATAAACGTGGATTTTTTAAAGAATATTTTTTCAAGGACCAAAGAAACGTGGATTTTTTAAAAAATATTTTTTCAAGGACCAATAGAATGTGGATTTTTTACAAAATATTTTTTTCAAGGACTAAATGTCCAAAAAAATAAGATTTTTTAAAAAATATTTTTTCAAGGACCAATAGAACGTGGATTTAAAAAAAATATTTTTTCAAGCACCAATAGACGTGGATTTTTTAAAAAATATTTTTCAAGGACCAAATAAACGTGGATTTTTTAAAGATTACTTTTTTCAAGGACCAATAGAACGTGGATTTTTTAAAAAATATTTTTTCAAGGACCAATAGAACGTTGATTTTTTAAAAAATATTTTTTTAAGGACCAGATAAACGTGGATTTTTTAAAGAATATTTTTTCAAGGACCAATAGAACGTGGATTTTTTAAAGAATATTTTTTCAAGGACCAATAGAACGTGGATTTTTTAAAGAATATTTTTTCAAGGACCAAATAAACGTGGATTTTTTAAAGATTACTTTTTTCAAGGACCAAATAAACGTGGATTTTTTAAAGATTACTTTTTTCAAGGACCACATAAACGTGGATTTTTTAAAAAAATATTTTTTCAAGGACCAATAGAACGTGGATTTTTTAAAAAATATTTTTTCAAGGACCAATAGAACGTGGATTTTTTAAAAAATATTTTTTCAAGGACCAATAGACGTGGTTTTAAAAAATATTTTTTTAAGGACCAGATAAACGTGGATTTTTTAATGAATATTTTTTCAAGGACCAATAGAACGTGGATTTTTTAAAGAATATTTTTTCAAGGACCAATAGAACTTGGATTTTTTAAAAAATATTTTTTCAAGGACCAATAGAACGTGGATTTTTTAAAGAATATTTTTTCAAGGACCAATAGAACTTGGATTTTTTAAAAAATATTTTTTCAAGGACCAATAGACATGTTTTTTTTAAAAAAAAATATTTTTTTAAGGACCAATAGACGTGGATTTTTTGAAAAAAAAAAATATTTTTTCAAGGACCAATAGACATGGATTTTTAAAAAAAAATATTTTTTCAAGGACCAATAGACGTGGATTTTTTGAAAAAAAAATTTTTTTTCAAGGACCAATAGACGTGGATTTTTTAAAAAAAATATTTTTTCAAGGACCAATAGACTTGGCTTTTTTAAAAAAATATTTTTTCAAGGACCAATGGAACGTGGATTTTTTAAAAAAATATTTTTTCAAGGACCTATAGAATGTGGATCTTATAAAAAATATTTTTTCAAGGACCAATAGAATGTGGATTTTTTAAAGAATATTTTTCAAAGACTAATAGAACGTGGATTTTTTAAAAAAATATTTTTTCAAGGACCTATAGAATGTGGATCTTATAAAAAATATTTTTTCAAGGACCAATAGAATGTGGATTTTTTAAAGAATATTTTTCAAAGACTAATAGAACGTGGATTTTTTAAAGATCACTTTTTTCAAGGACCAAATAAACGTGGATTTTTTAAAGATTACTTTTTTCAAGGACCAAATAAACGTGGATTTTTTAAAGATTACTTTTTTCAAGGATCAGATAGACGTACTTTTTTCAAGGATCAAATAAACGTGGATTTCTTAAATATTACTTTTTTCAAGGATCAAATAAACGTGGATTTTTTAAAGATTACTTTTTTCAAGGACCAAATAAACGTGGATTTTTTAAAGATTACTTTTTTCAAGGATCAAATTAACGTGGATTTTTTAAGATTAAAAAAAACGTGGGTTTTTAAAGAATATTTTTAATTTTTTATTTCAAGGACCTCTGACCAATAAAAGTACTATTTTAAAAAGAAAAGTTCCAGGATCTTCTGAATAATTAACGCAGGCTTTTTAAGGATTATCTGAACAATAAACATGGATTTTATGCCCTCAACCATATGACCACAATGTCATAATCTTATGTCTCTTGTCCTTGACAAATTATGGCCATACTGCCACCTTTTTAGCAAAAGATCCTTTTTCTCTGCAGTTATTGCCTTATTTTCTTGTAATTACTTTCCCACATTTTCCCAAGGCTAATTTATTGCCTCGAAGGTATAATTTTTGGCCTTACAACATGTCCCTGATTGCTAATTCGGCTGCAAGAGAATATTTGCTTTTCGCATAATCATTTAAATACACACAGATATCAAGGGCAATAAATAAAATTCGACTAAGAGGATGTCTGGCCCCTGGTTCCGATTCCACTAATTTGAATGCCTCCACTTGTTTATTGTTTGATTTATGCTTTAACAACAACAACAACATTGCAAATTAATGTCTTTGAATGCCACAAACATTGAAAAATATTTAAATTTATTTTTCTCCATTGATGCCTATGAATGGTTGTGTGTGTCTTATCTGAAAATTTAAAGTTGAAGCAGACACCACCAACATCCTTGACGTCACCATACCATGGCGAATACTTGACTGGCTGGCTGGAGTTGTTGTTATCTTTGCCATTGCGCTGTTCGCCGTTCGTTTCCCCAGTTGGATTGTCATTTGCAAAGCTTACCCTTCACCGACATGAGTCTTTTATTTTTCTGAGGAAATTTTCCCCGTCTGGTGGCCTCCTTTCATTCTTATCATTCAATTTCGTGGAACGAATTTATCCACCCCTCCGTCCACCGATAAATTATATTTTCTTTGAAAATGTCTTTAAGGGATTTCCGATGACTTTTCTATGTCGCCTTCAGCTTTAAGTATTCCAAGTATTTATTTATTTATTTTTTTTATCTTACAATAATTTAATCTTTGTGCTTCGTATCATTTTGTTTATTATTTTATGTTAATTTGAATACAAATGATTTGGAATTCAAGATAGATATGTATAAGTGTCTTAAAATTGTATAAAAGTTTCAGACGACAACGAATTTTTAGTTTTTAATAAAAAATCCTTGAAAAAATATTTTTTAAAAAATTCACGTTCATTGATCCTTGAAAAAATATTCTTTAAAAAATCCACGTTTATTTGGTCTTTGAAAAAATTATTCTTTAAAAAATCCACGTTCTATTGGTCCTTGAAAAAATATTATTTAAAAAAACCACGTTTCTGTTGGTCCTTGAAAAAATATTCTTTAAAAAATCCACGTTCTATTGGTCCTTGAAAAAATATTATTTAAAAAAACCACGTTTATTAGTCCATGAAAAAATATTCTTTAAAAAATCCACGTTTATTTGGTCCTTGAAAAAATATTCTTTAAAAAATCCACGTTTATTTGGTCCTTGAAAAAATATTCTTTAAAAAATCCACGTTTATTTGGTCCTTGAAAAAATATTCTTTAAAAAATCCACGTTTATTTGGTCCTTGAAAAAATATTCTTTAAAAAATCCACGTTTATTTGGTCCTTGAAAAAATATTCTTTAAAAATCCACGTTTATTTGATCCTTGAAAAAATATTCTTTAAAAAATCCACGTTTATTTGATCCTCGAAAAAATATTCTTTAAAAAATCCACGTTTATTTGATCCTTGAAAAAATATTCTTCAAAAAATTCACGTTTAATTGATCCTTGAAAAAATATTCTTTAAAAAATTTTCGTTTATTGGTCCTTGAAAAAATATTCTTTAAAAAATCCACGATTATTTGATCCTCGAAAAAATATTCTTTAAAAAATCCACGTTTATTTGATCTTTGAAAAAATATTTTTTAAAAAATCC